GTGTCCGGCGTGGCTGTCCTTGTCCTTGGGAAATGCACACTGCGTCGAAGCAAAGGGCGTCATATTTCCAAGCTCCTCTTACATGGTTGGAGGGAGCTGGATGTGGTGGTACCCGCCTGTAATCCAGCACTGAGGAGGCTGAGGCAGGAGGATCACTTCAAGTTTGAGGCCAGCCTGGGCTATATAGTGAGACCCTGTGTCACCTCTTCTTCTTTCTTTTCTTTTTTTCCAGTATGGGGGTGACCTCAGCGGGTTACTCAACCACTGAGCTCCGTCCCCAGTCCTTTTTCTTTTTACTTTGACGCAGGGCTTTGATTAGTTGCCCATGCTTGGCTCAAACTTGTGATCTCCTGCCTCAGCCTCTCGGAATGCTGGGGTTACGGGTGCATGTCTTCCGCCTGGCTCCTGCCTTCACACACACACGCACACTCGGGCTCTCAGGCTCCCACTTTCCCCCAGGAGTGGAAGCAGCAAGAGGTCTTCACCAGAGGCAGCTGCCTAGCGCCAGGGAAGCCTGAGCCCAAACTGACCTCTTTTCTGTGTGGGTTACTCAGCCTCAGGCGCGCTGAGGCAAAGGGCGGCTGAATCAGGCCCGCAGGGGCTCCCTGCGCTGCTCTTGGCGTTTTTCCGTGAGCTTGAAATCCTGGCGGGCTGAAGGCCTTCCTCACAGCAAACAGAACAAACCCGCGGGCGTGGCCAGGTGCCAGGACGCCAGCACTCAGGAGTCCGAGCTCCCGGGCTGAGTAGCCCCTAGTTCGAGGAGGTTGTTGGGGTTGCGTGGTGGGCAAATTATGTCACCGCCTGGACCAAAGCCCACCGCAGTCCCTGTGCTCGGGGCAGAGCGGCTTTCGGCTGTTTCGGGTCAGATGGGTCCTAGGAACCATGCACCAGACAGAAGGATGGTGGGTAAAATGTGCCACTTGTGCCGGGACTTAGTCTCTTTTCCTAAGAGCATTGTAGTTTAAGTTAAATCTGCTTTACTTGCAGCTCATTAATAAATAGGCCGGGCATGGTGGTGCACACCTGTAATCCCTGCACTTGGGAGGCTGAGGCAGGAGGATCATTGCAAGTTCAAGACCAGCCTGGGCTCCAAAGTGAGTTTAAGGCCAGCCTGAACTGCATAGCGAGACCCTGTCTCAAAAAGACAACAAAAAAAGAGAAAGTGAATTTTAAAAAAAGAGACAGGGTCTCTCTATGTAGCCCAGGCTGACCTCGAACTCGCAGTGACTGTCCTGCCTCAGCCTCCCTGATGCTGGGATTACAGATACACACCAGCATGCCAGCAAAAGGCTGACTTTTTTAGATGTGATAAGCTCTCCCAAAGAGCAGGAATCCATGAAGTTTCCCCTTTTAGTGAAGCAGCGCTTAAGGCATTGGGTTTCTCTAAGCAGGTGCTTCCTGGGAGAGGTGCGTGTGGGCAAGGCAGCCCGTAATCCCACCTACGTGGCTGCTACGTGGTCTGGTGGTGGCCTTGAGCTGACTCAGCACCGTGGTGCTGCGTGCTGTTTTTTTTTGCAGGCCTCTGAATTGCTAACTGCAGAATTTCCTCCATTTTGCACCCCTTCCCCCAAGCTTTTTGGATTTTCTTTTCATTCTTTTGAAATGTTTTGTTTTGTTTTTGAGCAATTTGAAAGTCTACTTATCCAAGCCCGAGGGGCTGAGAGTGAGACAGATTTCCTCATAGGGCCTCTAGGTAGTCATGGACTGGTTTTTTGTTTTGTTTTGTTTTTTGAGAAAGGTTCTCGCTGTGCAGTGCAGCCTGGCCCTGAACTCACAGCAATCCTCCTGCCTCAGCCTCCTAAGTGCTGGGGTTACAGGCATGGGCTACCTGGCGCCCTGTGTGAATTCCTAACCTCCTCCCCTGGGGGGAGGGGGATGGAGCCCCTGGGACCAGGGACAGAGGTTCACTGCCCTTTCCCTCTGCCTGCCCACGGGGAGCGGCTCTGGCTCCATCTGGGTTCCTGTGGGGCAGCGCCCAGCGAGGCACCTGGCCTGAATTACCAACCCTGCCCAGGGAAGGCCGGGAAACCACCCGTGCCCCACTAGAGCCGGCTGAGTCATCTGGGTGTGGAGCCTGCTGGGTCACATTCTTACAACATAGTGAGCAGAGCGCAGCGGAGACTGGCCAGGGTTTTGTAACGCTTTCTGCAGGCCAGCCTGAGACCAGCATCTGCCCTGGAGCGGTGACACCAGGCACACAAGTCAGGGGTGTGGGGTCAGCTTGGGCCCCACACACCCACACACCCTTTGGGATCTGAAGGCTGCGGCAGCGGGGGGCGAAACCTGACCTAGGAGAAAAGCTAAAGTCAGGAGAAAGCGGCCTCTGTCTGCAAAGGCTCTTACGGGGCTCTGGGCCCCTGGGTCGCCACCGCGCTGGTCTTGAACGCCTGGCTGGACAGTGTTTAGTAAAGTGAGGGCAGAGGTCACAGCCCGGGGCGTCTGGACAGAGAGGCACCCTTTTGAGTCGAGAGCTGTTTTGAGCGCAGCTTTGTTCTGGACCTCTGAAACCGGAAGAGGAAAGCTCCGTTCCAGGAGGTGGGACGCAAGCTGGCCGGGGGCCCTGGCGACCACCACACGTCACAGAGGCCCAACTATGTCTCTGACACCTCAGCGCTACTTCTGGGCGGGGATCTGAGGACCAGACCCTGGCCCGGAGACCAGGCTACATGCGTTTCCTTATGAGTGAAAGCTCAGAAAAGATCAAACGGGGAACAAGACAGGAGAAGCTGACACGGAACCCTGGTGTGACGCCACCTCCTCCCCAGGACACCTGGAGCCCAGCATTTAATTAGCGATGAGGCTGCTTTCACTCCTGCAGTCCAAGTGTGGGAAACAGGTGGGCTCCGCCTTCTTGCCTGTGGTTATTTTTCTCCCACTTCCTGAGCCCGGCTGGAGAGAAAGAAAAGCCAGCGGGGTGCAGGACAGCGAGAGGAGGTCCTTGGCCGTGGCATAGTGCCCTGCCCCTGTAGCGCAGGACCAGGGCTCGGAGTGGCTGGCTGGTCCCGTCTCCCAGCCATCTCCTTTGCAAAGCATAGGTATCCAGCACCGCCTCACCTGTGAAATGGGTACAATGTGACAACACAGGGGGCTGGGGATTTAGCTCAGCGGCACAGCGCCTGCTCGGCAAGTGCAAGGTCGTGAGTTCGATTCCCGGTACCGGAAAAAAACCAACAACAACAAAAACTGTGACAACACAGCTAAACTTCCGGCACACTGAGCCCTCTGTACTCCATAGTACTGTAAGGTAGCCTGGCTCTCTAGGGAGCAGAGTTCTGACTTTATAAGGACGCTCTGTGCCCGTCGGGGTTGGGATTTGAATCTAGGTGGGCATGTACACAGGTCAACATGCTGGCCACAGGACGGAGAGATGGCGCCTGCCTTTTCTACTGGTCTGATAGTCAGGCCATTTGGTCATCTCCAGCCACCCGACATTTCTCAGATTTCCCCTGTTTCCTTTGAGGATTTCCAGGAGTGATTGTGAGGTCAAATCAAATAGATTTGATTTGAAAGCTGGTGTGGTGGTGTACACCTGTACTTCCGACACCAGGGAGGCTGAGGCGGGAGGATTGCTGTGAGTCCGAGGCCAGCCTGGACTGCATAGAAAGACCCTGTCTCAAAAAAGAAGGGTTTTAAATAGATTTATTTGAATTTAATATTCTAAATGTACTTGGATTTCATTTTGTTTTGGTCTGGTTTTCGAGACAGGGTCTCACTGTGTAGTTCACACTGGCTTTGAACTTACTGTGTAGCCAGAGCTGGCCTTGAGCTTGTGTCGACTTTCCTGCCTCAGCCTACCGAATACTGGGATTATGGGTGTGCACCCCACACCAATCTCAGGTTTATACTCTCCGTGACTGTCCCGTTCGCTGCCCTGCTCTCTGTAAGTCTAGTGTTCAAAAGCCCTGTTTGGAGTGTGTGTGCACCAGGAGTGTGTGTGCACCAGGAGTGTGTGTGCACCAGGAGTGTGTGTGCACCAGGAGTGTGTGTTACACATGCATGGTGTACACTGTTTAACAGCATTGAGAATAGTCCTTCCTGTTCCAAGTGAGGAGTGTTCTGCCGTCACAAGTGCAAACCAAAGCAAGAGGACTAGCGTGGGAAGTCTTGTCCTGAAAGAGGCAGGAGACCAGGGCACTGGCTGTGAGCCACCTGGGGCCGCTGGGGCTGCAGGCATGAGCAGGCACTTTGCTTAATCCAGAGACCCCAGTCCATGCCCAAGCAGGGGGTTGGGCCCTTCCTGGGTGAAAGGAGCCCAGGGAGCTCTCAGGGAGGCTGAGGCAGGACGGTACAGGTGACAGGCGCCCCGTGCTGAGAGGAGACAGGAGTCAGGTGCAGAGTGGCATGTGCTGTCCGCAGCTGGACCTGGGATGGAACCGGTCTTTGCCCCAGGCTGGGACACACAGCGGAGCTGTTGGTCAGGGCTATGACCCAAGCCATGGGAAAAGACAGTGTGAGGCGCCCGGGGTCACCCACAGAGCGCAGGCACCTGGGGTCCCTCCCGGACTCAGATTCGCTCAAAGTAACTGCAGAGCAGCAGATCGGGGAGGCCGGAGCAATGGCGGACCTGGAAAAGAGGCGCTGAGAGAGGACGCAGAGACGGCCGGCGCCCCCCGGGCCCGCTCAGGGGATGTGAGAGATGGTGACTGTTGCGTCAGCCCCGTAGGCGGGAGCAAAGGGGAGCGGAGCTTTCCAGAGAAAACCTAGGCCAGCAGTCCCAGCTTCTCGAAGGAAGGAAGGGAGGAAGTGGACCACGCACGCCTGCTGGTCACACTGCCACGTCACCAGCAACCCAGACACCCACGCTCGACCTTGCGGTGGCTCACGGCCCTCGCTGGCCACCTTTCCTCTCCTCTGTGTCTCTGGGATCAGCCCTAACTGGTCACCTTCCAGTGACTGCCGGGCTTGGTATTCCGACTCTGTCACTTACTTGTGCGACTTTGGCCACGTTTTGTAATGCCCCTTACAAGCATAAAACTCACAGCAGAGGCAGTACCGCACTGTGATATTTTAAGATTCATGATCTGCTGAATTAACTTTGCAATCCAAGGATGGGTCACATCCTGCCGTCAGAAAACACCTCTCCGATTGGGTCCCTACTCCAGCCAAAGCTTTCAGTCGCCCCTGCTATCCAGGGACTTTAGCACAAGTGGCCTAAGCTGGCATCGAAGGCCTTAGGCAGGGTGACCCCGATTTGTCTCTGCGCTGATGACATTTGATCTCTCTGGGCCTCAGTAGGGTAATAGATGGAGCGAATGGGAATGAGGGGTAGACCAGATGGCCCCTTCAGTGTCCTCTGCCCCTGGGAGTCACAACCCTGGGAGCATAAATGCTCAGAATCCAACTCCCAAACGTAACTCCGGGTCCCTGCATCCTCAGGTATCTTTGCTTGTGCTCCCTTCAGTCACCTCTTCCGGATTCCGTCTGTTGAAATTCCGTCACTGTCCCACACAAGCAAGGACACAGGAAGCAAAAGTCAGAACACACCAAGGGAGCGCAGCTGGTGCCCCGGGGCTGGCAAGTGACAGCAGGTGACAAGAAAGAGGCCCGCATGCTGTCTCTTTCTTATTCAGAAGTCTTGGGTGAGATCAGAGGGAGTTTCTGAGCAGGTATCCAGGCTCACAGAAGAGGTTTAAGGAGACAGAGTTCCCTAGAGCGGCAGGCACGCAGGGGTTCTTCAATAGTAAAATTGACAGTTGCTGGATCTAACAGCAGGCTGGGCCAGGCCAGCGATGGAGCCTAGAAGCCCAGGCAGCGGGGTTGGGGACGTTCAGCTCCACCGCAGGCAGGCGTCCTGGAGTGCAGGAGGAATGACCTCAAGATTGACAGAGCTGGGGCTGGGGATGTAGCTCAGCAGAACAGCGCCTGCCTGGGAAGTGCAAGGTCGTGAGTTTGATTCCTGGTACCGGAAAAAACAAACAAACAACAACAACAAAAAACAAAGATTGACAGCAGATTGGGCCCAGAGCTGAGAAGGTACCAGCCCCGCCACAGGGGGCAGGGGCACAGCCAAGGACCGGGGTGGGGAGAGGGCTGCGGAGCAGCGCTCACGGCAGAAGGGCCACGCTCTGTGTGCGACAGGGCCCCTGCCAAGCGCTCCTGCCCAGCTCAGCTTGACTCCAGGGGCTGAATGACAAACTGCCCCCAAGCTCTCGGAGCACAGGTCGCCGAATTGCTTTCCGCCCGGCACCCAGTGCTTGTGCAGAGTAAGCTTTGCTCACTGTTCCTTGGGTTGAACTGAAAAGGGATGACTGCTGGGCATGGAGGCGCACGCCTATAATCCCAGTTCTTGGGAGGCTGAGGCAGGAGGATCGTTGCGAGTTCGAGACCAGCCTGGGCTACAAAGTGAGCTCAAGGCCAGCCTGAACTGCATAGCGAGACCCTGCCTCAAAAAGAAAGAAAGACAAAACAAAACAAAAGGAAAAGGGATGACCATTTCTATCAAACCCCCCTCATGATAACACTAGTGTTTCTGCCTTCCTGGGTGACATTTTTTGTGTCCCAGGCCTTACACTTTTCAGCAGAAAGAACCTGGGCTCCTCTTCAAATACCAGAGCTCTGGAGCTGATTAGACAGATGATCTAGCCTCGTTCATTACCTAGACACATTTCTCGGTGAAAGGTTCGAGGTTCAGCCTCAGCAACGGACGCCTGGGTGAGCTGCCACCCAGGGTCACTCGCCTGACCAGGTCACGTTTTAGGCCAGAGGTGCTGAGGAGCAGCAGAGCTCTCGGTGCTCTTTTTATTTCTGTCTTCATTTTCTCTCTTCCAGATTCAGATAGCACTGGGTTACCATGGTTCAACGTCCACGCTTTTGAATTTCTGATTGGTCCAAAAGTGATAGGCACTCAAGAGAAACTGGGCTTTGGATGTTGAATTAGGACCTTTTCTCAAACTCCACTGGGCAGTGTGATCCTTTCTCTTGACACTGGGCTGCAGCCACCAGCCCAGCTCCCGTCCCTACCAGCCTCAGGACCCCTAGGGGAAACACCAATACTCTTTACTGTGTTGCTAAGCTAGGGGTGCTACAGGGTAGGTGCATTAAATGCGTTTTCCATGTAGGATATTTTCAGTTTATGATGGGTTGAGCTGGGCGTGGTGGTGCACCCCTGTAATCCTAGCACTCAGGAGGCTGAGGCAGGAGGATCGTTGTGAGTTTGAGATCAGCCTGGGCTACAAAGTGAGCTCAAGGCCGGCCTGACCTGCATAGCAAGACCCTGTCTCAAAAAGACAAAAAGGAAAAAAAAAAAAATTATGATGGGTTTAATCAGGAGATAATTCCATTGTAACCCAGGGAGTGTTTGGGAACCGTATATGTTTTGTTCCCTCCCACATACCAGGGCACCAGGGGCGTTGAGAGCTGGATGTCTTAGTCACATTCCCATTGCTAGGACAAAATACCCAACACCCACAATTTAAAGAAAGATCGCTTTCAGAGGGTATAGTACATGGTATGCTGGCTCCAAGGCAGAAACAGCATGGTAGCCAGGCATGGTGGCACATGCCTGTAATCCCAGAACTTGGGAGGCTGAGGCAGGGGATCATTGCAAAGTTGAGACCAGCCTGGGCTACAAAGTGAGCTCAAGGCCAGCCTGAACTACATAATGAGACCCTGTCTCAAAAAAAGACAAAAAAATAAAATAAAGAAACAGCATAGCAGAAGGGCCTGGCGGAGGAAATGTGCTTACTTCATGGTAGCCAAGCAGCAGAGAGAAAAAGGAAGAGCCAGGGACGAGGACGTACTTCTGAGTCAGGCCCCTCGTGACCACCTCCCACCAGGCCCTACTTGAACTCCTGAAACCAGCCGTGAACTAACTCGGCCATGAACCACCTCACTCGTGGCTGAGTCCCCTGGTGAGGATGGCACCCCATGATCCAGGCACCTCCGCACACGTGGGAGTTTTGAGAGACGTGTTAGATCTGAACCACGAGAAGGGGGATAGTGAGGGACAGGTGGGTGGACCCAGTTGTGTAGCTGACTGTCTGCGTCGGGTCTCCCCGGAGTGCCCAGGCCCTGACACGGCTGGGAGGAGCCGGCGGTGGCCCCAACACTCCTGTGGGGGTGAGGGAGGGATGCCCGAGCTCCAGAAAGAGGTCCTAGTTATTCAGGGCACAGCGCCCCCTGCTAGTGGGGCACAGAGAGAAGGCAGCTGGCTCCACTTTGGAGCTTTTTTTTTTTGGTCTTTTTGACACAGGGTCTCGCTATGCAGTTCACGCTGGCCTTGAGCTCATTTTGTAGCCCAGGCTGGTCTCAAACTTGCAGTAATCCTCCTGCCTCAGCCTCCTGAGTGCTGGGATTACAGGTGTGCGCCACCACGCCCGGCTCTTTAGGATATTTCTTAAAACGTGCAAACGGCAAAATATGATTTACAAAATTATAGCCTATTTTAGTGTTTGTCATCTAAATTAAAAGTACGAGATGGGTATTCTTTTCTTCTCTCCTCTGGGCTCAGCTTTGTATGTGAATTCACAACCCACTTGCAGATGGCATAGAAGTCCAAATTCAAAGCCATTTCTGTTCTGTTCTGTTTGTTTGTTTGTTTGTTTTTGAGGTAGGGTCTGACTGTGCAGTCCAGGCTGGCCTTGAACTCACCATGAAGCCCAAGTGGGCCTCGAACTCACGGCAGTCTTTCTGTCTCTGCCTTCCGTGTGCTGAGATTACAGCCCTACACCACCATGCCCGCCCCACATCGCTTGATGTCTATGCATGGCTTCCTCACGGTAGCCCCAGTCCAGAGCTTCCAAATGCGGGAGCAGGCTCACCCATAGGGGAAACAGGGAAGAAGTCCCCAGGAGGCTTCTTACCAGACCCGTGATAAGTGCCTCTAACGCTGGTGTGGGGAGTAGGAGCTGCCCTCGTGTCCAAACAGGAAGTGCATGATCTGATTTCCACTGTGATAATTTGAGAAACTGCAAGTACACATTTTTTTAAAAAAATAACAGCCAGAGTCCTAACCCCAAATACAAATATCACATGCCAGGTGGGATGGTGCATGCCTATAATTCCAACTACTTGGGAGGCTGAGGCAGGAGTATCACAAGTTCAAGTTTATCTTGAAAGAAACACCGAAAAGGCTGGGGATGTAGCTTAATGGTAGAGCACTTGCCTGGCAAGCACAAGACCCAGGGTTCAATCCCCAGGGCCACAAAACAGACCAGTCTCTGTCTCCTCTACAAGATTTCAGCTTTAGGAGCAGTGGTCAGAGGGTGAGCAGGTGCTCATCTCTTCTAGAAGGAAACCCGAACCCCATGACCCCTGCTGTGCCCTTGGGGAGTGGATCTGGTCCCTGTCCCAGAAGCCAAGGATGGTGGCAATGTCAAGGGCTGGCCAGGGACAGGGAGTGGCACAGGTAGAAAGCTGCCCAAGGAACTCGGCTACCTGGAAAGTACCCATGTATAAAATGTGTAAAGACACCTGCCTTTCAGAAAATCAGATATGCAAAGGAGAATGAGCAGGAGGATAACAGGACTGATGGTACTGCGAAAGGAATCAAAATACTTCTTTCTCTCCTTTCCTTCCTGCCTTTCTTTTTTCTTTTTGTTCTTTTTTTTTTTTTCTTTTTGGTTTTTGAGACAGGGTCGCATTATGTAATTCAGGCCAGGCTTGGACTGGCAGATCCTCCTGCCTCAGCCTCCTGAGTGCTGGGATTAGAGGCTTGCTCCACCGTGCCTGGCCTAAAATACATTTTTCATATCACTCTCATCTTAATGATAAAGAGGCACTAACATGTAGCTGCTACTATTGTGAGGGTTTTTTTTTTGGCCTACAGCTTTATGTAATTTTATTTCCCCACAGGCTTACAGCAAAGGAAAAAACATTTTAAAAAAAATTTTTAATCCTAAGGGAAAAAATATAAAAGTAGCAGGAATAGTTTTCCCCCAGACAGAAATGTTTACTTCTATCTATAAACCTATTTCTCTTAGGCAGCTTCTGCACACCAGGGAAAGGCTGGGGAAGGCAGCTGGCTGCTTCGCGTTTACCTTGGGTGTCAGCTCATAAAGGAGAGGAAGTACCAAGGCAGGGCGGCTCCTTCCTCAGGGGCTGAGCTGTAGAAGCCGCAGTCACAGGACTTCTAACGAGTGCCTCTGAAGGAAGTGGCCGGTGCCTTTCGTGCCTGAGATCCTGGAGCAGTGTGGGATGGGCTCTGGGCAGGGTCCTCCAACCCCGCCACCCAGAGCACAGGGCCCTTCCACGCCCTCCTTCCCCTGTGCATTTGTTTAAAAGTCGTCACCGACTACTTCGCTTCCTTCAGCGCCTGGACTGTGCAGGCACTGGGGTTAAAGCAAAGCACTGACAGCAAAGGGCCCGGACAGGCGCTGGGTCACCCGGGGAACACCAAGA